ATCAGGAAAGCACTCAAAGTTTATCTTTGGTTGATGGCGTCTTTGTCATCAAACAGAGGGGGGCAAAATACAAATTAGATACCATTGAGGCATGGACAGATGCCTTCATAGTTTATGTTGCTATCTACACACAGAAGCATGATAGAGGGCAAGATTTATTGAAATACATGTCAATTGTTAGAACGGCCTTTAAATCGTTTGGTGGGTTAGGTTGGAGGAGATATGACGAGCAATTTCGTCTCCGTCAAGCCCGTCAGCCTGATCGTTCATGGGCGGTAGTTGACGGGGAACTATGGCTTACATGTTTAACAACAAATGTATTGAGGTCCTCGGATGCTAATGCATCGCATAACAAAAATGTCGGAGTGCGTGGTGTTTGTTATGAATTTAACTTCAGGGGTGTGTTCCACAGGACGAATTGTGGTTATATGCATAAATGTGTGGTATGTGGGGGAGGCCATTCAAAAATAAACTGCTTCCGTAACCAAAACCAAGCTTTCAGGGGGCAGGCTAATATAAGTGGCCAAAGAATACCTTCACCAAACAATGGGCCTAGACAGGGCCTGACTTCTGGTCAAAGTAGCACCCTCACCCAGGGGCAAAGTAATTTTCGTCCCCAAGCACCCAACTATAATAGATACCATTTCAACAGAGATATGGGCTCTCGGAAAAACTCCAATCAACCATACCACTCTCAATAAATAATTTGACATTTATCCTGACAGAGTAGCGTCACAATATCTGAACGTTGGTTTCGAAAGGGGTTTCAAGCTTCATTATTCTGGTTCAAGATTTCCTAGAGAGTCAAAAAACCTTTTATCTGCATTTCAATATGAAGATATTTTGTTGTCAAAATTAAAGCAGGAAGTTGATGCAGGAAGGGTAATGGAGCCCTTTAAAAGTAAGCCTATTTCCAATCTTAGATTTTCTCCCATTGGTTTAGTTCCAAAATAAACCCGGGGGTTGGAGATTAATTCAGAATTTATCATATCCTGAACAGGGGCTCTCACTTCTGTCCATTATACCTCATTTGATCAGGCAATGAAAATGGTTCAGAATCTTGGAAAAGGGGCTTTGTTGGGGAAGAGAGATATCAAGTCGGCTTTTCGTCTGCTACAATTTTTCCGGGGGATTTTGACTTACTAGGTATGAAAGTAGTGTTTACCCATGGGTTGTAGTATTTCATGTGCATCGTTTGAAATTTTTTCAACATTTATCGAATGGGTAGTACGTAGCAAGTGTAATTCTCAATCCATTGAACATTATCTTGACGATTTTCTCTTTGGTGGAAAAGCGAATAATAATGATTGCATAAAAGCCATGGAATGTTTTGATGTTTTTTTGTCAGGAGCTAGGAGTGCCGGTGGCAGATGAAAAGACAGAGGGCCCAGTAACGTGTTTGGTATTTCTAGGATTAGAAATAGATACTGTTGAACAAGTTGTTCGGATTCCCAGGGATAAGGTCCTAGAAATAACATTGATTTTACAAGATGTAGCTCAGAAAACAAAAATATTGTTGAAAGACCTTCAAAGTTTGTTGGGTAAATTAGCTTTTTGTGTGAGGGCAATGCCAGGGGCTAGAGCATTTTGCAGGAGGCTATATGGGTTATTAGGCAATGCTACAAGTCCAAACCACCACATTCGTTTGACAAAAGGGGTCAAGGCGGACATCTGGGCGTGGTTGAATTCTTCCAGAATTTTAATGGTACCTTTCATTTTTTCGAGCAGGATTGGGTATTGAGTGCTGATTTTGAACTGTTCACAGATAGTGCTGGTAGTATGGACTTAGGTTGTGGTGCTGTGTACGGGAAACATTGGCTAGTGTTCAAGTGGCCAAGTAGTTGGTACGGTTTGGATATACAGAGGGACATCACATTCCTAGAGTTGATTCCTATTGTTAATGTATTATACACATGGGGAAGCGAGTTTCGCAACAAGAAAGTATTGTTTCAGTGTGACAATCAGGCATTGGTTGAGATCCGAAACAAATCATCATCTCACTCGGAACGTGTGATGCCTTTTATACATCCTTTAGTTTTGTACTGTCTTAGAAGCAATATCCAGATCAAAGCTAGGCATGTGAAAGGGAAAGATAATTCAATTGCCGATGCGTTGTCACGTTTTCAGTGGTCCAGATTCAAGGAAATAGCACCCGACGCCGACCAGCATCCTACGAATATCCTGCAGGCATTCTGGGACAGTTTCAGAACAAATTTGATGAATTAATCACCGCTTCCATCTCTCAGAATACAGCAATAGCTTATGAAACAGGGGTTAGGATGTACAAATTGTTTGTTCAAGGGAGTGAACTCTCAAGTGTTTGGCCCCCACCTTTGAGTTACATATTGAATTTTATACTGTATATGGCCGACAAAGGAATGTCTGCAGCAACTGTTCATACTTACTTGGCAGGCATTAGTTTTCATATTAAATGCTCTCACAATTCATGCATGGATTTTACTTCAAGTTTCCTTGTTAAAAAATTATTGGAAGGAATGAGGAGGTTGAAGCAGAGTAAGGATTTAAGGGCCCCAATCACTTGCGATATTCTCAGAAAGATAATAGGGGTTTTGGCTTTAGTATGTAGCTCCACATACGAGTCAACAATGTTTTCTGCAGCATTTTTAATGGCATTTTTTGGGGGTTTTCAGGGTGGGGGAATTAACAGTTACAAAAAAAGATATGTCTCATAAAGTTGTAGCTTTGCAAAATATAAAGATAGTCAAAAATCTCGAAGTAACCCTTCGTTTTTCGAAAACCGACCAACAGGGGCATGGTAGTAAAGTTTGTTTCCCACGTATTTTTTTTTTTTGGGGGGGGGGGGGAAGTACATAATAATAAGGCATGGGATATCTGGCCCTCTCTTTTGTCACTTCAATTATACAAACCTGACCCGATATCAGTTTTCCGCCATGTTAAAGAAATCATTGTCATTAATAGGCCTAGATGTGGGGAAAATATAAAACTCATTCATTCAGAATAGGGGCGGACACAGAGGCCGCAAACAAAGGTTTATCAGAGAAGGAAATTCAGCTGTTGGGGCACTGGAGTTCGGATGTTTTTAAGCAGTATATTAGAATACCGGATAACTGCATGTTAAACATTGTTTTGTGAATATTGTAAACAAACTTGACCTGGGGCACTGGCTTCTCCTTACTCTGTCATTTTTTGATACAAAATTTTTCAAATTAGCAAGTTCCTATGGGCTTATTACAGCCTTAAGATTTCAGGGTATCCCACACACCATACGGTCTACATAGTCGGCTCTTCCATTATAAAGCGAGCCTGCTGTCAAGCTGACTGTAGGCCAGGAGGTCGCCATCTTGGATTGAACCGTTGGAATTGCTCAATATGGTGGAGGGGTCAGAGTGGCATGAAATGGGGCTCTGTTTTATCCCAGGTACAGGACATGGTTAATGCCCGAGGGGATCCCTCCATGTTGATAGTTCACTGTGGGGCGAACGACTTGGTTGCCAATGGCCACGGTGGTCCTGTGGTGTTCCTGTTGTTAGCTTCGTACCCCACTACATTCTTTGTGGCGGTATGTACCATGTGGCAGGACTTTGCTAACATCAGTTCATTTTGACAATTATAAATACATTTTATTTGCATATAAGTGTATTGACATAAATACTTTATGACCATTGGATTCTCCTTGATCACAAAAGACTTTAATTAATTTAATTGACAATTGCTTGGAAAAAATAAAACATATGCGGGCAGTGAGTGACGCCGTCTCGAGGCATATGTGGGCAGTAAGTGACGCCCCTTGCTTGATTTTTTTTAAAAACATATGCCGGCAGTTATTGACGCCCTCTTGATGCATATGTGAGCAGTAAGTGACGCTCCTTGCTTGAAAAAAAATATATAAAACATATGCGGGCAGTTATTGACGCCCTCTTGATGCATATGTGAGCAGTAAGTGACGCTCCTTGCTTGAAAAAAAAAATATAAAACATATGCGGGCAGTTATTGACGCCCTCTTGATGCATATGAGGGCAGTAAGAGACGCCCATTGCTTGATTAATAAAACACCGTGGCCATTACTGTCAATCTTGTGTTTGTTGTTTTATTCAATAACCAGTTGAGAGTGTAACACAGTCAGTGTTACGACGTTGTATAAATAGATTACGTATATCTATCAGGAATAGAATTGATTACATCTGGAATATCTCGGACAAATTTCAGGTCTTAATTGACTATCAGCATGTGGGGCTTATGGACCCTTGACAGTCAATGTTACGGCGTTGTCTAATCGATCACGTATGTCGGGAATAGCTCGGACAACTTGTGCAATGGTACGACGTTGTGTAACCATCTATATTTGTGTAACTGAAACTGACCATCTATATTTGTGTAACTGAAACTGACCATCTATATTATGTAGGGCTTAATTATGTCGGGAATAGCTCTGACAGCCTGTATATTTATCCAGATTACTATGCACGAAACAATTATAATCGAGTATAAATATAACCTAGAAAGGGGATAATGTGAGAGAGGAGCACGGGACGGCGAGAGAGGAGCAAGGGACGGCGGGAGAGGAGCAAAGGACGGTTAGAGAGGAGCAAGGGACGGTTAGAGAGGAGCAAGGGACGGTTAGAGAGGAGCAAGGGACGGTTAGAGAGGAGCAAGGGACGGTTAGAGAGGAGTAATGATATAAAAAGTGAGGAGAAACAGTTTATCAAACGTCTTCACAAAATCGTTCCGCTGAAGTTTTTCATCTGCTGTGGCGCTCTGTTCGCTCGTTTGTTCTGTTTTTACTGTGGTTGTCTGTTCGTTGTTCGCTACCGTTCTATTTTTACACTCACATCGACGTTTCCGTTGTAAACATCTAAATATAACTAGCATGCATTTCGGTATCGGGTCGTTTTCCGTTTTGTAATAGAAATATAGTTGAAATATTGTAAGAGCAGCGATACCGGCGCTGATGATCATGGTCAAAATTGTGAAGTTCGAAAGGACGGACATTGGGTCAGATATACTGGGTAGAACAGCATTCATGATGTCAGAAACACTGTAAACGAGAACAGGACGGTCAGACTGTAGCTGGCCCGCTTGCCGGAAGCCGATGGTAGGAGGAAGACCAGCGGATTCAGCAGCAGATTAAAGATAACCGGACATATTGTAATGATCACTTGGTAGAATGGAAATGTGGAGAACGTCAGTTTGAACTGGACGAAGCTAAGGAACCCTTGTGTTGACGCCTCGCCGGAAGTTGAATCAATGTTGTATACAACACTCTTGTCGTAGAAACTTAAGTCTATGTACGAGTTCGTAGCGGCCAGCGGAACCTCGCGATCGGTATCATCGTAACCCCAGGGTGTAAGGTCAATGGTACACGTCTGTGAGTCGAATGTAAACTTTCCTATATCCGGTGGACATTTGACCTTTAACAGACCTCCTGGGTTCCATTTTATCGTTCCGTCATTATAAATCGTCGCCCGGAAGTGGTCATTACTGATTAGTCGAAACATTTCGGCCACTTTCAAATTATACAAATTTGGCCGCCATATTTTTGTTTGATTCACAATGAGAGATTGGAATCCACCGTACGAAGCTGGAGTCCATGTTAGGATCTCTTCCTTCCATTTGATATTTTAAACAGCTACCAGACTTAGTACACCGGAAATAGAATTATACTCGTCAATGCTGAAAAGTTGAAACGAGACATTCACGTGGAGGGTGTCACTCTGTGTGTTGATTGGTCGGATATCCGGGTTATAACCGGCAAACAAGGTATCATGTAAACTGTTCACTTGTGTCCAGGTTCGACCAGTACATACACGGACAATGGTCAACAGGGTAACGACACAAAGTCCGAATTCCATCCTGAAGTTTATTAAGTCCATTTAAACCACGGCACAAAAAGGTAAATATCGACGTCTCTACGGTCTGGCTCGTGTGTATATTTTAATGTTGGACCTTCAAAATATCCGATGAGGCGTAAATAATTGATTCTAGTGTTGTCATACGGTTTTAAAACAATGTGTAATGTGTTTGGGTAATAGGAAATCAGACTTTAAATGTCCCATTCGTTTAGTGACTGACTTCGTGCATGATAGCAAAAACATGTGACAGCGGCTATTTAAAAATAACAAATTATAATTCTATTAACATATGGCAATCAACATACACAATACAAACGGGTGTACTTACCCTGCAATGTCGAGAAGATGTGTAGTGTTATTAGCCTTCTGATCAGGTAGCCCTACTCTCGGTCAAGAGCTGTTCTGGTGTAGTTTGTTTTTCAAAATAATCAAGTTTAAGATTTAAAAATTCGATGATATTTTCTGTGATTTTTGGGAGTTTTTTACTCTCAAAAACTTAGGTAAAAAAAAAGAGAAAAAAAATCTACTTCAATGTTTGTTAAAATATTTCATGTTTTTTTTTTAACTATGGGTCACTTTCGACAAAACCTACACAGCAGTGTCGGTCGATATAATAGCGGAGGGGTGTTTTTTTGTTCATGGTTCAGTTACCGAGTGAGATACTTCGATATACATAGCCACCATATATTGTATACAGGTAGCTAGTGTTTATAAGTGGGTAAGCTCCCTTTAACTTTGAAATATTCTTAAATATATTAAAGCCATTGATCAATGTTTAAAGTTTATTTTTCTCTATCGTGTTTTAAAGTTGTAAATGTACCTTTGAGATGGGACTTCGAAAAGCACTCGCTGGTAGGGACTGGCCCAACCGCTTGAAGCTAATCGTTTTCTCAATTTCCTTTTAATCTGTTATAACCATAGGTCATAGACCTTGAAATATTATTTAATTTGTTAATTATTGATCAATACTAAAATTTTGCCCTTTTAACCGTGTTTTAAACTATTAAATGTAACCTTAAGAAGGGACCTCGAGAAGCCCTCGCCGGTAGAGCTTTCCCCAACCGCTTGGAGCCAATCGATTTCTCAATTACTTTTAACCTGTTATTCCTTTTTTTAAACTGATAAATAAAAAACAAAAAAAATATTTTATTTTTAAAGTTACATCGTATGATTGCAGTGGCGCAGAGCGACCTGTAGGGCTCTCCCCAACCCTAAGGTAGCGCACTTTGAGTCACTGCAACCTACATGTTAATAATAAGAAGAAGGGCAGTCTAACAATAATCTAATTTCGATATTGATCCCTATTACAAGTGGGTGTTTTTTTTATGTTAAACAAACTATTTTAAGTTCTAGGAAACAGCCAACTGCAAGTATTTTATATGTACCAATGGAATTGATTTATATTTTGTACAAGTATTTTATATGTATTAATGAACATAAATGTAATTGTGATATGTGACACTTAAATAAACAAATTGAACTTGAACTTGAACTTGTTTATTCATTGATATAGAGTACTGTGTTAGGAAATGAATCTCCTTCACAGAAGAGTTCTGTGATATAAGTTGAAGACACATTGAAAGGCAATCATGCAGGGCCACAGTCTGTAGAATATGATATGTATAGGAGTTGGAAGGCGGAAGGTGTGGGGGAGGGATTTTGTGCCGAACTGTTGATACAATAAGTGGTATTTGACACAGGGACTTGATAATTCGTTACAGTTGTTATGTTTGGACAAATTGACATGTGAAGGGTGTAATATAAGACTGTTTAGTGTTAAGATTCTTTAGATATATCATTATTTCATCTAAAGATATCTTGATACTAGATGGTTCAGAGAGGTCTCTAAATGAATCAATCCTTGAATTAAACAGTTTTGCAAAGATCTCCGGACTAAATATCAATACTAACAAAACTCAGGTTGTATGGATAGGCAGTAGAAAATACAGTCAGGAAACTTTCTTGCCAGAACTTAATCTGGTTTGGGGGAAAGATAAGTTCACCTTTTTAGGGATAGATTTTTCTGTTGATTTAAGCGAGATCCCCAGAATGAATTTTGATAAAAAAATGTGAAACTCAAATCTCTTATAAATTTATGGAATAGGAGGAGTCTGACTCCAATAGGTAAAATCAATATCATAAAGTCTTTGTTAATTTCTCAACTTAATTATCTTTTTATTACCTTGCCAAACCCACCTGAAAGGTATATTACAAAGCTGAATTCCTTATTATTTGATTCCCTGTGTAATGGCAAACCCCATAAAATAAAAAAAGATGTAGTAATTCAAAATTATATAGATGGAGGGTTGAAAATGGTTGACGTACATGCTTTTAAAGATTCTCCGAAGCTAGGTTGGGTAAGAAGAGTACTTCAGTCATCAGGAAAATGGAATTTGCTTTTAAATTTGATTATAGATGTAAAAAAGTTGCATAATTGTGGTAAAGAATACATTCGTACATGTGGATCTAACTGCCAAAATGATTTTTGGAAGGATGTCTAAAGGTTGGGTAAGACTGAATAATTCTAGTTCTATGAGGGAAGTTAGACAAGATTCTGTCTAAAAAACTCCACTCTTGTATAACACAGATATACAAGTAGGAAATAATTTCGTTTTTTATTCAAACTGGTTTAAGACATCAGTATTTACAGTGAACGACCTTGTTAAAAACCCTAATAATTTGACTTTTTATTCATTTAACGAGTTTCTTTATATTTTTCGAATTAACACAAACTTTCTCGAGTACCAAGGACTAGTCTCATCAGCCAAGCGTTTCCTTAGGTAATATGATTTTCAGACAGAAAGAACATCCCAACCTTTTATACCTCTTCTTTTTGAAATATTCTTCAAAAATAAAAAAGGCTCTAAAGACTTCTATAACAACATGATTACACCAGCTTCAACACCTACTGGGGTGAGGAAATGGAATGAGGAGTTTGAGTTTGATATTGATAAATGGCAGAAAATACTTAAAATTCCATTTACAGGCACAACAAATTCAAAATTGCAGTGGTTTCAAGTTAGAATTATACACCATATTCTAGTAACACACACTTCAAAACAAATTTAAATCCTAGTCCCTTGTGTAATCTGTGTAATATGGAAAGAGAAACTATAGTTCATTGTTTATTGGAATGTCAAGAAGTGCAGGGACTACTGCAGAGACTTGAAACTCTTTGTGACATTCTTCTAATCCCTGTTTTAATAAACAAAGAATCGTTACTTTTTGGAATATTATCCCCACGAGCGAGTACTGTTGATAATGAGATTTTAATTCTTATCAAACAGTATATATATAAGACTAGATGTCTTCACAAATCTTTGAGTCTCAATGCACTTATCAATGTCATCAAAGACCATTTCCTTGTTCAGAACTATGTTAACAATAGTAAAAACAGTTACATAAGAAGGACATTTGAAATTGATTGGAGAAAATGGAAACCAATCCTCGAATTATAACCTGTCATCCTATAAATATGTATTTTTTCCTGAATCCCAAGCCTTGACTTTGCCATTTTTCTCTTATCCTTTAAATTACATATGTACTTCTGAATAAAGTAAAACTATTTACATGTATGTGCATTATTATGGGACCTCTCTCTCTCTCTCTCTCTCTCTCTCTACAAGTCTGTTTGTATGGTGTATGTGTGTGTGAGGTGTACAAGTGTGTGTGAGGTGTATGTTTATCAGAATATATGGTGGGATGAGTATTTGTGTATGGTTGTCAATATCTATTTGAATAATGCATCTGTTGATGATGATGATGAGGATGATAGATTGATAGATTGATAGAATGATGATGATGACGATGATGATGATGATAGATTGACGATGTTGATGATAATGATGATAGGATGATGTTTCTGATGATGATGATATATTGATAGACTGACGATGATGATGATGATGATGATGATGATATGATGATGATGATGATATGATGATGATGATGATGATGATGATGATGACAAATTATAAAAAAAGAAAGATATCTTGACTTCATCTAACCCCTCTGTCGGTATTAAATGTTGAGTTGGCTTGCCATAGGAAAGGTCCAGAAAAACCAACAGTCACAAATTCTCATGTTCCTGTCTCCATTACATATTCAGAGGCGACCATTACGTGTCGCTTGTCGCCTGTGATACAAGCTTGTGGCTATCATGATTTCAGTGTAGTAACGCGACACATGAAATATAGCAAAACTAGGTCTAACAACGACATACTGGGGGTAAAACCATTAAAACATAGGTTAACGCACATCAGTGCAATACACGACACACGAAATATTGCAAATTCCTTTTTGAATAGGGAATTTTATCTAATATTTGTTATTTTATTCGAAGGCAAACGAAGAAAAAATATACCCGAAAATTTAAAGTCAACTCTATATGAACTCTATTTTTTATTTTATTTTCCCTGAAATTAAAAGATACAATTTTATGTTTTATCGCTGTTTACTGATATGATGACGTCATTTTGTTTGTTTGATGACAATTTTACATGGTATAATTATTTCCTAAGAAGGAAATGCAAGTACCATCAAATATAAGAAAATACGAGAAAAACGAGCGAAGTATTTTAAACATAATTTATTATAACATATAACAATAAATGGACTGGATGTCAATACATACTAACTCTAAAAATCTGATGATTAAGGGTGTATGCTACATCTTAATGTATGCACCTCTTTCCATAGAGTTCTACAAAAGCAACATTTGTATTAACGTTAAATTGTACTTTGACTTTAAGAGTATGACTGTATGACTCATTTGACAGATACACACACATATATATATATACCATTAAAGTAATTCAAAGAGCGCTAACTCTAACGTAAATTGTGTGTATAATCTACACGTATAAGGTAGCGTGTATTTCTTAATTAAACAAATCTCAATTATTTTGGCACACTGTTAGTTACATATATAGACATCATGTTCACGTGTGGAGCCAACGCGTAGACAACAGATTACACTCAATCAAACCAGTAGTCGGTGACCGGTGTCCTATAGTTGCAGAGGAAGGCGCCGAGATGAGGATGTCCTTACCCGTCTCCGGATGGGTCATTCATGCATAACTCATTGTTATGTATTGAACCTGATGACCAGTCTCAATGAATAACAAATAAAACTGTTTGAAACAAAGCCATACACATTCAAATATGTACTGCATAATGAAGAATTCAGGACTCTTATGGGTAAAAGTACACTGTTAGACTGAGAGAACCACAACCGGCTCGCTCTCCTTAACAAATGACAAGTACACTGTTAGACTGAGAGAACCACAACCGGCTCGCTCTCCTTAACAAATGACAAGTACACTGATGTGATATTGTGAACACAGACTGAGCAAGCCTTGGGTTTTACCCAATTAAAAAACCCATCGGTTTGAATTTCTATACCCTTTCTCCTTTTGGGCGTAACATAGGTTTAACAATTTTGGCCAAGGTTGCTCTCATAAGTATGGTCCTACATGGAGGTAAGGTAAACAGTTATGACTACAGTACCAATGACGCCAGTTATGTATATAGAACTTAAATAAAACATATCCATTACCTCAACTACTCTTTGCCACGTGACCGTACCACCATCTTTGATTCCTATCGGACCAGAATTCTCATCGTTCTCCCCATTCATAACAACATCCGGTTTGACTTTTGCTCTTCCGTAACAGGTTAAACACGCGATCAATTTCACAAGCCAGTTTGGTACGGGAACATTTTCGTCTCTGTGAAACATTCGCAACTGAAAGCAATTGAGAATGGTGATAAGACCGCTAAATACAAGCGCCCCGAATGTCACAAATGAGAGAACGGCCATCGGGCTGGACGTCTGGGGCAAGGCAGCGTTGATGATCATCATAAAAACGGTGTAAGAAAGTAGCATAGTCAAAGTAAATCCCGATCTCTCTCCGCAGTCACAGGGCAGGATAAAAACGAGAGGGTTGAGGAAGCCGAGGAAATATATAGGAATTAGCGTATTCACTATATGGTAAAGTGGAATCCTCTTCATCTTGAAGCTGATGATTAGGGTTGAATATACTCCCTTCGGTTGAGATCTCAGTCCCGTTTCAAGCACTGTCCATTCGCCATTTGCTTCGTAGTAAGTCATGTCGAGTTCTGAAGCCCCTGCGGAAAGCATTATATCGGTTGCTATGTACATCCAAGGTGTTATCTCCAAATAACAGTTTTGAACGTCAAACGGAAATTTCGCTACGTCAGGCGTGCACTTAATTTTCATTATTCCACCAGGCATCATTTGCACTTCTCCACTATATACCACCAACACTTTGAAATTCCCTCCGCCGATCGCCTCAAACGTATCTGCAGCTTTAAGGTCAAATATCTCCGGCACCCAAATTTTAGACTGCGGGATAGTGATATATCCTGTATAATTATAGGTCGCGAGGTCCCATACTAACGCCTCATCGGTCCACTTCATCCCTACCACAATGACGATCTCGAGAGTTCCCGAGACCTCGTCAAAGTCGTTGATCGCCATTAAATATCCACTTATTTCTATGTTCATCGGGATACTGCCCGTGGACACGGGCCGCACTTCTTTTGTGTAACCAGCGATAATGTTGTTGTAGATGTCCTTTTGAATCGTTGAAACCGCGAATTCGGCGACTTGAAGACACGAAAGTAATAAAATCGTCATATAAAGTTTGTTATCCATTTCTGATTCGTTAATGCTTTTCTGTTTCGTGTGTGTCAGTAATATAGATCGTTTCTTGTGTAGGCATGAGACTATATTATAGTGATTTCGGTGGTGATTACAAAACCAAGTCAGGGTACACTGCGTAATTGTTTGATGGCACCTCAAAGATACGATTCATAAATATCTGTCCCATCTTTATAGCTGTTTTGTACACCTCAATGCATGCCTGTAAAGACAATTTATAACTGACTACGATCGACAGGCTAGTTAAACGAGTGATGAATGTTGTCTGATAATGAAAAAAACACTACCTACATACAGTCCGTTAAAAATGGCACACTATGTTAAAATGATTTAATACTTTATTATTTTAAACAAAAGGCTTTTTAAGAGACGCTCACGACTAAACTTAAGGACATGTAAGTTCAACTATTTATGATTATATCGTGGTTCTGTAACTTAAAGATATTGTATTATGAAACAGGCATGCATTTAATGTGTTAAGGCCCCCCGGGGGTACGGCTGCCAAAAACTGTAACTATGTGTTGGAAACGTTTTTGTGATTATGACTTGATAGCTTTGATAAGTCCTTATGTACCTTTGATAAGTCATTATGTACCTTGATATAAGTCCTTATGTACCTTTCATAAGTCATTACGTACCTTTGATAAGTCATTATGTACCTTTGATAAGTCATTATGTACCTTTGATAAGTCATTATGTCCCTTTTATAAGTCATTATGTACCTTTGATATAAGTCATTATGTGCCTTTGATACGTCATTATGTACCTTTGATAAGTCATTTTTTACCTTTGATAAGTCATTATGTACCTTTGATTAGCCATTATGTACCTTTGATAAGTCATTATGTACATTTGATAAGTCATTATGTACCTTTGATAATTCATTATGTACCTTTGATAAGTCATTATGCACCTTTGATAAGTCATTATGTACCTTTGATTAGCCATTATGTACCTTTGATAAGTCATTATGTGCCTTTGATAAGTCATTATGTACCTTTGATTAGCCATTATGTACCTTTGATAAGTCATTATGTGCCTTTGATAAGTCATTATGTACCTTTGATTAGTCATTATGTACCTTTGATAAGTCATTTTGTACCTTTGATAAGTCATCATGTACCTTTGATAAGTCATTATGTACATTTGATAAGTCATTATGTACCTTTGATTAGTCATTATGGACCTTTGATAAGTCATTATGTACCTTTGATTAGCCATTATGTACCTTTGATAAGTCATTATCTTCCTTTGATAAGTCATTATGTACCTTTGCTAAGTCATTATGTACCTTTGATACGTCATTATGTCCCTTTGATAAGTCATTATGTACCTTTGCTAAGTCATTATGTACCTTTGATACGTCATTATGTCCCTTTGATAAGTCATTATGTACCTTTGATTAGTCATTATGTACCTTTGATAAGTCATAATGTACCTTTGATAAGTCATTATGTACGTTTGATATAAGTCATTATGTACCTTTGATTAGTCATTATGTACCTTTGATAAGTCATTTTTTACCTTTGATAAGTCATTATGTACCTTGATATAAGTCCTTATGTACCTTTCATAAGTCATTACGTACCTTTGGTAAGTCATTATGTACCTTTGATATAAGTCATTATGTGCCTTTGATACGTCATTATGTACCTTTGATAAGTCATTGTGTACCTTTGATAAGTCATTATGTACCTTGATATAAGTCCTTATGTTCCTTTCATAAGTCATTACGTACCTTTGGTAAGTCATTATGTACCTTTGATATAAGTCATTATGTACCTTTGATACGTCATTATGTACCTTTGATAAGTCATTATGTACCTTTGATAAGTCATTATGTACCTTTGATAAGTCATATGTACCTTTGATAAGTCATTATGTACCTTTGATAAGTCATTATGTACCTTTGATAAGTCATTATGAAAAGGAGAACCATACGTTGTGGAACTTTAATGAAAAAAGGGAAGAAAAGAAACAAAGATAAAGAGAAAATATATAAACAGAAATTAAAAACAATGGTTTAAGTGTAAAAATGCATTTACATAAGTCTTATTAAGTGCTGTCAAATATTACACCATTGATTGTCTTGCAGATCTACAATACCATCTTAAATACATACTCATTAAGATAAATGAGATATTATTCAATCTTTGACAACTCTGCCGTAATATGATTTTTAAAATATCCAGCGACGTAATCCTTTGTTTTTACTCATGGGACATAAAATATTTCATAATGGCTGAGGTGTCAGAAAGAAGGTTGGTTAGATTATATTTGTAGCCATCAACAAATTATGTGCTCCTAATGAACTTGAAGTTACTTGGGTCGTCTGGGTATATGTATATTGCACTTGTTAAATTCCTGTGTATAATGGGACTTCAATTCTTTTTATTGTCGTGAGCAATACAGCTTATTGATATTACATTACAAGTATTGTGCACAATACACTGTCATACAAAGTCAAGTTCAAGCCGTACACTAATAGGTATATTCACTCATTTCATAGACAAGAGGTGCGACCTAATTTCAAAAGCTTTACACAAAAAAAACCCAAAATTATTTAGTTCTGTAACATTTTCTGTACTAAATAATAATTTCAAAAGTTTATATATGGATGGCTTGCATCGGTAATAAGGTTTAAATAGTTTTTGTCGGAGGAAATCGTATTCTTTACAAATGAAAACAAAATGATATTCATCTTCTACTTCAGTAGTACATATTGGGCATATGCGGTTAGAAACAGCCTGCTTATTGTATCTTCCTGTTTCAATTGTTAAACAGTGCACAGACAAACGAAAATTACAAATTACTTTCTTGAATTTCAATAAAATTGGTTTTGATAAATAACTCTGTACTTAATAGCCCGGTGGTACAGTCTATTCTGTGTGACAGTTATCTATTTAGCGTCTTGGGGTCACGTGCATGTAGTTGCAGGCAGCTGGTTACCGTTAACAGATGCTCCGGGTCATTGGTTAGTGATTGTTAACATACGAAAACGTGCAGTGAATGATATACATGAAGGACTTAAAAAATCACAGTTTAGATTGTGGAAACATAAAACTTATCATTGTTCATGCTATTTTGATCGTCGATACTAGCGGAAATTCGTAACGTGTAAGTGTTGATATATTTTTGGCTCTTAAAACGACATGAACGTTGTATATCTAGATTGAAATATCATGTAACATCATTATAAATATTTGTATTGTTTATTAATAAAGTATGTATACATTCATTTATGAGACTGGCAAAAAGGATGTACGCACGATGTAGTTACCGTGATTATAGTGAGGACTTGATCGAGGTGAATTGTCTTCTTCAGTAAGGTAGTCAATGTCTTTTGTAAGCTTGTTTAATGTGAGTTTGTTCAAGCTTGTTTTAAACTCATGTAAGATTCGGATTTATGTTTCGGTATTCCTGGTGATCTAACATTGAGTTTGTCCTCTGTTTCAAAATCTCCAAACGATCTGAAGTTTAAATCCCGTATATAATCGCCGCCATACACATGTACTTTACAAATAACCCTTCCTCGTTGTCGTCACACGTGAAGGGACATGGTAAAAAACAAAACGATTAATAATCCGGGATCTCGGTTTAGTGATCGTATCTCTCGTTTAAAAAAATAATAATCTCGGTTTGAAACGAGATGATGAATTACTAAACCGCGATCTTCACGAACTCGATATCACGGATTACCTAACCGAGATCTACACTCAAGATCACAGGTTACATGTAATAAACCGAGATCATGAATTACTAAACCGAGATATATATTAACTCGAGATCACGGGTTACTAAACCGAGATCTACACTTACTCAAGATCACAGATAACTTAACCGAGATCTACACTAACTCGAGATCACGGATTACTAGACCGATATATCTATTATCTCGAGGTTACGGATTACTAAACCGAGGTCTATACTAACTCAATATCACGTATTACTAAACCGAGATCTACACTAACTCAAACCACAGATTACTCAACCAAAATCTACATTAACTCAAGATCACGGATAATAAAACCGAGGTCTACACTAACTCGAGATCACGGATTACTCAACCGATATCTACACTAACTCAAGATCACGTATTACTAAACCAAGATCTCTATTATCTCGAAATCACGGATAACTTAACCAAGGTACAGTGTATATACTAACTCAAGATCACGGATTACTAAACCGAGATCTCTATTATCTCGAGATCACGGATAACTAAACCAAGGTCTCAATAACTCAAGATCACGGATAACTCAACCGATATCACGGGTAACTTACACGAGATCACGGATTACTAAATTGAGATCTATACTAACCCGAGAGCACGGATTACTAAACTGAGATCTATGCTAACTCAAGATCACGGATTACTCAACCGAGATCTAGACTAACTCGAGATCACGGATTACTAAAACGGGATCATGGATTATTAAACCGAGATCACGGATTACTTCACCGAGATCGCGGAGTACTAAATTGAGATCGCGGATTATTAAACCGAGATCACGGATTACTTAACTGAGATCACGGATTACTTAACCGAGATCACGGATTGCTTAACTGAGATCACGGATTACTTAAAGGAGATCACGGATTACTAAATCGAGATCGCGGTTTTCTAAACCGAGATCACGGATAACAAAATTGAGAACACGGATTACTAAACCGAGATCTATGCTAACTCAAGATCACGCTTTACTCAACCGAGATCTAGACTAACTCGAGATCACGGATTTACACGGATTACTAAATCGAGATCGCGGATTGCTAAACCGATATCTATACTTATTTGACATTAGGGATTACTTAACCGAGATCACGAATTACTAAACCGAAATCACTGATTACTTAACCGATATCACGGTTTATTCAACCGATATCACGGATTACTTAACTGAGATCACGGATTACTTAAAGGAGATCACGGATTACTAAATCGAGATCGCGGTTTTCTAAACCGAGATCACGGATAACAAAATTGAGAACACGGATTACTAAACCGAGATCACGGATTACTATACCGATATCACGGATTACAA